CTTCTCCGCCAGTCCATTTGTTGTTCTTTCGGTTCCTTTGAGTCCTCGCCCTCCTTCTGCCACTCCTCGAATCCTCTTTGTCTCCTCCCTCCATCCGACCCCATGCCCATTCACGATCCATTTCCGTAGCCACCGTGGCTCGAGGTGGCGCACGCGAAGACGCAAGCATGTGGCCGCCCGCGCGCCCGAGCGCATCCTCAGGGAGTATGGACCGTGGACCTCGATTCGCCAGAACGGTGTTCATCCACAACGCTGAGGAGGAGGAGGGAGGCAAAGACGAGGAAGCCGCAGTTGCGGATGATGACGACGACCAGCGGACGCAAGATGGCGACAGCACCGTCGCGTCCTCGGCTGCCTCCGCTGACGAGGCTGAGTCCCGGGGAGGTGCGGGAGCCGCAGTTGCGGCAGCACATGACTCCTACATGCCGAGAGTGTTGTCGTCGCGGAGACCCTGGAAACGGGTGCCCATCATCGAGACAAGCAATCTGTCGGAAAAACAAAGAGCTCTTGTCGACGCATGGGAGGAGAAAACGGAGTTCGAAGCGGGACGGGTCGGCTTCTACGTGGCCAACTTCGGAGGGACTGCAGCTAGACCCACGCAACGCGCGGACGAGTGGGCGCAGCTCCGCGCGAACCCTGCCCAGATCATCGCCCTCTGCGAGTGCGACGACGAGACCTGCGCGGTACTCAGTGGGGAGCACGACGCGAGGGACAGTGCAGCCGCAGTTGCGGACGATAGGTTTCGGAGTCGGACTCAATACAACTACCTGTGCGTTAAGGGCGGCGAGCCATCAGGGACCCTCCTTGTTGGCATGAGGGACCGCAGTGGCGGCCACATTGAACACGTAGACTTTGCGAGACTCTTCCACAAGCAGGAGAAGTCCAAAACGAAGAAGAAGAAGAAACAGTCCGCAGTTGCGGAGGCTCCTGCGCCAAAGCTGCACAACAAGTACTCCAGGGCGATGGTGGTGCGCGTCCACCTGGACCAGGCCGTGACCCATTTGGGGGGCTCCTTCAACGTCATGGCGGTGCACGTCCACCACAGCTTGGCCAACCAAGACTGGGGCGTCACGAAGCTCCATGAGTTCTACAACTGGTTCGTCGCCTACGTCAGGGAATGGGACGTGAAGGTCTGCATGGGGGACTTCAACATGTGCATGTTCCAGCTTGTGTCCTGGTGCCGCAATTGCGGCCTGACTGTGGACGTCGCCGCGTGGACCCCCTGGAAGACAGCAGGCGGCCAGCCCAGGGCAGACAGCATGGCGATTTTGTTCATAAACTGTCCTGGGCAGTACAAGCTTCACCATGGCCTGAGTGTTCTGCACGACCGTGAGGGCGGATTCTTGACGACCCAGCATGATCCGTCTTTCCCTGTCTTCGACTACACGAATGGCCCTGGGAAGATGCTTCAGACTTACGTGCCCAAGGCTGAGCCCGTTGAAAACAAGATGCGCGCCTTCCTGACGCCATCTGGCGAATCCTTGACCGCAGTTGCGGAGTTCGAGCAAAGGATGGCGCGCAGGGAACGCGACGATTGGGTGCGCCATCCCTTCAGAGTGAAGCAGGGCAACCTCGACGACAAGATATGGCATGGCGCCTTCGGCAGGGCGAGGCACGGAGCGCACTTCCCTCTGGTGGCTTTCACGCACAATACGTGCCGCAGGTCACCTGAAAGACTCGCCGCGAGGTTGGAACGCAGGAAGGGCGGCAGGAAGGGCGGCAAGAAGGGCGGCAAGAAGGGCAGCTACGCGGACACCGCAGTTGCGGGGAAGGGCGTCCGACCCCAGATGGGAACCGCAGTTGCGGGGAGAGACGCTGGGGCTGAGCGAGCTGGGAACACGCCACCGCCGCAAGCTGCCAACGGCGACGATGCGACCCCTTCTTGTGCCGCAGTGGCGGCTGGGTCCTGGGACGCCAGCGGCAGCGGCGCATGGGAGGCGCGCAGTCCCGCCACGAGATGGCAGGGCTGGTCCTGGTGGGACTGGAGCTCGAGCGAATGGGGCGCTGATGGCGCGCAGTGGTGGCCCTCTGATCATGCCGCAGTTGCGGACAATGCCCCTGAGGGCTCGCCTCCTCAGCGTGAAGTCGAGTGGGGCTCGAGCGGGCGACCTGCCGAGCGCCCTCCGTGGAGCTTCGAGGGCAGCGTTGGTGATGGCCGCAGTTGCGGGCAAGTGGAGCATGATGTTGATTGCCGCAGTTGCGGACAGTGTACGCTGGAAAAATCATCATCATCATCAATCATAATCATCATCATATCATCATATCATACGTTCAAAGCAGTGCCGGGGCACTGCTTTGAACGCGTTCAAAGCAGTGCCGGGGCACTGCTTTCGATCGTCGCCTCGTCGCCGTTATAAGGGCTTTCGGATTACTCATACTCAGACCTGCTCGTGCTCAGACCTTTTCATTGTCTGATTTATTCCACACGCAGAGCAGATTGTGAGGATGTCTCAGGCGGGGCGCTGGCTTCAGCCCCCCTTAGGGGAGCCGCCAGGGGTGTTTTGACGGTCCCGTTCGCGGCCGTTTTGTGGGGATGTCTCAAGCGGCTTGCTTGTTTTCTGTACCAGCGTCCTTCGTTGTCAGAGCAGATATGGAGGATGTCTCGAGCGAGGCGCTCATGTTCACACCCAGGTGGGCCAGATTTTGAGGATGTCTTGATCGGTTTGCTTGTTTTGGTGGCCAGGCTCGTGGGCGCAGATTCTTCTGAGGATACCACAGGCGGCTGCAACAGGCTCCAGGCGGCCCCAGGAGACCACATGAGGTCCCAGGAGGCATCAGGAGGCCACATAAAGTGCCACATAAAGACTCGAGAGGCCACAGGATGTTCCAAGAGGCTCCAGGAGGCCCCAGGAAGCTCCAGAAGGCTTCAGGAAGCCACAGGTGGCCCCAGGAGGCCACAGGAAGCGAGGCCCCGAGAGGCCCCAGGAGCAGGAGGCCTCAGAAGGCAACAGGAGTGGCTCCAATCCCATGTGTTTTACCTATGCTCCTTTCGATTGGGCCTCACCTGGAGCACGATGCCTTGATATTATACGTATGAATCTATATATTGTCCTTCTCCTGTGTACACAACAATCATACATGTTTTATGTATGTTCCTATATGTTGGGCCTCTCCTTGGGCACGAGTCCTTGGTGTTTTACGTGTGTTCCTATGTATTGCCCCTCTCTTGTGACTCTAATCCGCAAGGTGTTATGTACGTCTATTGCTATAGATTGGGCCTCTCCTGGGGCACGACACCTTCCTAGGAGGCCCCAGGAGGCTCCTGGAGACCCCAGGACGCCCCAGTAGGTTTCAGGAGGCCCCAGGGGGCCCCAGGCTCATGTGCAGAGACGCGCTCGTACTACTGAGGCTCATCCACACTCCAATTCATTCGCAGTTAGATTCATGTCCAGACCGTCGCAACCGAAGCCCGTGTATATTCGAAAGCTGTTGCGCCTAGACATTCACGGCGGACAGGTCCATGCGAGTAGATGCACATATGGGGATCTCCACGCAGTGAATAATTTGATGGCAGTTTTCAGTCAGGAGGTTGAGGATATTTCGCTGGCAGTTTTAGGCGATGGGTGTTCGGATATTTCACTGGCAGTTGTAGGCCAGGGGGGTGAGGATATGTTGCTGGCAGTTTTGAGCGAGGGGATATGAGGATATTTCGCTGGCAGTTTTAAATGAGGGGTGTGAGGATCTTTCGCTGGCAGTTTTAGGCTAGGGGGTGAGGATAATTGGCTGGCATTTTTAAGTCAGGGGTCTGGGGATATTTTGCTGGCAGTCGTAGGCCAGGGGGCGAGGATATTTCGCTTCCAGTTTTAAGTCAGGGAGTTGAGGATATGTCGCTGGCAGTTTTAGGCCAGGATGGTGAGGATATTTCGCTGGCAGTTTTAAGTGGGGGTGTGAGGATCTTTCGCTGGCAGTTTTAGGCCAGAGGGTTGAGGATATTCCGCTGGCAGTTTTAGGTCAGGGCGTGAGGATATGTCGCTGGCAGTTTTAAGTCAGGGGTTGAGGACATTTCGCTAGCAGCTTTAAGTCAGGGGGTCGAGGATATTTCGCTGGCAGTTGTAGGTCAGGGGGCGAGGACATTTCGCTGGCAGTTTTAAGCGAGGGATGTGAGGACATTTCGCTGGCAGTTTCAGACCAGGAGTTTGAGGACATTTCGCTGGCAGTTTTAGGCCAGAGGGTTGAGAAAATTCCGCTGGCAGTTTTAGTCCAGGGAGTTGAGGATCTTTCGCTGGCAGTTGTAGGCCAGGGGGGAGGATATTTCGCTGGCAGGTTTAGGCCAGGGGGTGAGGATATTTCGCTGGCAGTTTTAAACAATGGGTGGTCGGATACTCGCTGGTTAGGCCAGGGGGTGAGGATATGTTGCTGGCAGTTTTGAGCGAGGGGATATGAGGATATTTCGCTTGCAGGTTTATGTCAGGGTGTTGAGGATCTTTCGCTCGCAGTTTCAGGCCAGGGTTGAGGATCTTCCGCTGGCAGTTGTAGGTCAGGGCGTGAGGATATGTCACCGGCAGTTTTAAGTCAGGCGCGTGAGGATATGTCGCTGGCAGCTGACGGCCAGGGGGCGAGGATATTTCGCTGGCAGTGTTAGGTCAGGGGGTGAGGATATATCGCTGGCAGTTTTAAGCCCGGGGGTTGAGGATATTTCGCTGGCAGTTTTCAGTCAGGGGGTTGAGGATAGCTCGCTGGCAGTTTTGAGTCCAGGGTTGAGGATATTTCGCTGACAGTTCTAGGCCTGCGGCGTGAAGCTATTTCGCTGGCAGCTTGAGACCAGGGGCGTGAGTGTATTTCGCTTAAGCTTGGGGTGTGAGGCTATGGAACTGGAAGTTTTAAGCCAGGGCGGTGAAGATAATTCCCGTACGTTACCAAGCAGCGCCATGTGCCACGTACGGGCGGTCAGCCGAAGGCTACGCATCCAGCGCGGTGCTGCGCCCGTATATATGTTCGCCCCTCGGCGTGGGGCTGGCGGTGGGCCAAGGGGCGAGCTGCCCGGTGTTTCCCCGTTGGAGGCGTCCCTCGGCATCATGGTCGACGTGCTCATGGCTCTGCCCGCCGCCGTGGAGAACCCCGTCTTCATCAAGCGCCTCCAGCGTGCGAAGGATCAGGTCTCGGGCAGTGCCAAGGGGGGCTACCGCTGAACTGGGGCGGTCACACGATCCTCGTGGAGACCGAGGTTCTGTGATCGAAGCCCGAGGAAGTGTTTGGCCGTGGGGAGGCTCGCGAGCGGCCCACTTCCTCGGGAGGAAGCGATGCTTCCTCGAGGGAGTGGCGGCCCCCCTAGTGGTGACCCCCCGTGGCACTGCCGCAAGGTCACGGACTCTGTCTCGGCGTTCCTCAACATCACCCGGCGGAAGACGGCGAAGTTCGTGTTGGCGAGCAGCAAGGCGTCCGACGTGGAGCTCTCCTTCCTCATGGCGCGCTACTTCCACGAGGCGTCCTTCCGGGTCAAGGCTATGCAGTCGGACGCCGAGAAGGTCGCCAGGGACCTCAATGTCGTGATGCCCAGGAAGCTCCGCACTTCCTTCAACCCCATCCTCAAGCAGCTGCGGTCGAATGCGGTCCCGCTGCGTGTGAACGCCAGTCAGATGGCGGAGCAGACGTTGTCCCAGGCGTGCACCCAGATGGGCCAGCTGATGTCGAACATCACCCAGTACGACAACCAGCTGAACACGCTGCACACCGGCCTGCACAACGTCTGGCAGATGTCCGAGCTGATGCTGCCGCACATGAGCAGGATCTACCCCATGAAGACCATCATCATCGACACTGTCAAGGACTTCATGATGTTGGCGACCACTCAGATTGCCAGTCTTCAGGATCGGGGCCAACGAGCAAGGGGATAGCCCCAGGGCCCAGGGGTATGCATCGACCTCGAAGGATCGATACACCGACGATGCGTCGACGCAACGTCGATATCAGGGCGATGTACCGACGACGTATAGACGATACATGGGGCGACATGCATCGACGGTGTATCGACGATGCCTGGGCGATATTTCGGCCATTCGAGGCCGATGGTGCCCATGCCAAGAAAAACCCTGCTTGCCTCCAGGGTGCCCTGGGTTTCTTGGGTTTCGACGATTCTGCCAGGGAACGCGTGCCGTTCCCTCACCAAAAAAATCGAAGGACGTCCAGGGGTCCCAGGGTTTGTGGAAGGTTTCTTGTGGTCGGGCCCCTAATGTGTGCCCATCCTCCCCCAACCGCTGCGCCTCACAGGAGGCGGCGGACGAGATCGTGTCCAACGTCGGGCCCGTCGTCACCGAGCGGATGCAGTGCACGTGGGGTGCCGCTGGTCCCCGCGGCGTGGGCCTCTTCGCCCTGCTGGCGCCGCTGGTGGCGTTGGCCAGCTCGGTCCTCCACTAGGCGCCCTGAGCGGGGCCGGCGTAGAGCCAGGACCTGACGCGATTCCCCCCTTTCTCTCCACGTGCGTGGGTGCGTGTGCGTGTGCGCGTGCGTGTGCGTGTGCGTTTGCGCGTGTGTTTGCGTGTGCGTGTGTGTGTGTGTGTGTGTGTGTGTGTGTGTGTGTGTGCGTTCTCTCGCTCTCTCTCTCTCTTTGTCTCTCTGTCTCTCTCTCTCTCTGTTAACTTCTGCCTCTCATATGTTTTGTTGTGATACCTCTCTTTCTATCTTCTCTCTCCCTTTGTCACTTCCCTCTACCGGCATACCAAATATACTGGTCCCCTACCCCTCTCGCCTCCCCTCCCGAAGGTCATCCCCCTCCAGTGGATCTTAAGTAGCAGTTGAAGTTGATGTCACTGGAAGCTAGTGGTTGCATCGATCGCGCGTTCCGCAAAGTGGTCAATGCAAAGTGGTCAATACAGGGTTCACGCTGATACCATTCTGCTTCATGGCGTGACTGTGCCAAGTCTGACTGTGGCAAGTCTGACTGTGGAAGGTCCTGCAATTATCAGAAAGGGCTCCAAGGGAATCATTTGGCCCCCCCAGGTGACAGGGGGGTAAACCATTCGAATGTGTTTGGTTTTTTATGTTTTGTGACGTTCCTGTCGTTTCGGCCAAAGATGTTTCTGGCGCTTCTTTTGGCGGCCCAAGTTCCAAGACAGCCCAAGAGACGGTGTGGACGGGAAGGACGCCCAGGAACATTCCTGGCGTTTCGCGTATCCCCCCAGCCCCAGGGGCTGCCCTGCAGACTCCCTGGATATGCACGCATTGGCTCAGACGCCCTGGGTCGCTGCTGCCTGCCGCCTGACCGCGGCCCCGCGCGCGCCCGCCCCCCTAGTCGCGGCCGCTGCCCGACCGTGACCGCCTGCCGCTGGCGCTTCCGCCTGCGGCTGTAAAAAAAAAAGAAAGAAGTATCCCCCCAGCCCATCAGAGACGAATCCCTGGTGAGCTGCTGAGTTGTTGCGAGAAGAGATTTCGAGGAGTATCAGCGCAACAGTGAGGATGCACACCAGTCAAAATGAAGCTAGGGTCTCCGAGCCAGCTTTGAGCTCTCTGTGGGACTCTCGGTACTATCTTGAGGATCTTTGTGGGCATCTTGGAGCCTTTTTGGGGGCCCTCTTGCCGCTCACCTCGGACGTCTCGGAGACGCCGTGCGGCCTTCTCGGGGGCCAATGCTGCATGCAATCGACCAAATCGGATTGGGTTCCTTCAGGGGCCTCCCTCCCTGGGTCGTATTGGGGCCTCCTTGGGGCCGACGGAGGCCTTCTGGGGGATTGTTGATGCCCTTCGGGCCCTGGCATCGCTCGGACGTGTGTATTTTTCCTTCGGCGAGGGCCATCGAGGAGCATCCTTGATCATTTGGCGAAAAAACCATGCACGAAACCGAAAAAAAACAGGAAATGGACGTCCGAGCGATGGCCTTCTGGGGGATTCTTGAAGCCCTCTGGGCCGTGTTGGGGCAGCCTGGAGCCTTCGTGAACACACCTCAGGAGGCATGGCAAGCGGCATGGGCTGCAGCACAATATGTGCCTTGTCGCATCCCAGGGCCTCGGTCCAGGGCTTCATGGGTGACCGGTGTCGGGCGCCTCCGGCAAAGATCTCTGGACGTCTTTGGCTGTACGGAGCTCGTCTGGGAACGCTTCGCAACGGGCCTAGGGAGAAACTGGGATGTCCTGGGGCCCTCTTGAGGCCGCGACGGATGCCAGAGGACAACACATATATGCTAGATGTTGCATTTGTCAGGCGTGATGAGGGTGGGGCGCCTCTGGAAATTTACAGAGCGCTTGCGAAGCTGTCGTGGGCTTCAACGGCAAAACGGGCGACCATCAAAATGGTAAACACAGTAATCGCGTGTTCTCAACGCGTCTCTCCCAGGAAGGGAGTCCGTCCTGGAGGCCACCTTCAGGGAGACCTGGGAGGCGCAGGGCTTTGGGAGGCCTTGGGCCTTGGGACCCCCCCGTGGGAGAACCTTCTTCGCTGATGCATCGGCGATGCGGCCCGACCTGGAGTTTCCACATCCTGATTCTGTCTTCTTCGTCCCCGTTCCGCCTTCTTCGCCTCCTTGCTCTTTCCTGCTGCTGCTGCTGCTTCCGGGGCGAGGTCAGGGGGGACAGGCTCAGGGGATGATGCACCGACCCCCAATCCTCCTCCTCCTTCTCCTCCTCCTCCTCCTCCTCCTCCTCCTCCTCCTCCTCCTCCTCCTCCATCCTCCCGACAGGGGGCCGATTGCCCTCCAGGCCCAGCAGCGTACGGTTTCGCCATCGGGAGCCTACCGCCGATCTACTCGGGATGGATCGTCGAATCCGGGTCCCGCCCTGACGTTCCCCCTCGATGTTTCGTTCCTGTTGCCGCTGCTCCTTCTTCGGCCTGCCGTTGCATCGCGTCAGTCCAGTCACCCTCCTGTTGCGAAGCGGCCATTTCGACGGGGTTGGCGAGGTAACGCGTTTCCTGTGGGAGGCAAGTGAAGCTACTTTCACTTTTCGACGCGCACATGATGTCCCTCAACGCCAGTTGATTTGCAGGAAGCGTTAGCATCTAGATGTTACTCTGGAGTAGTACGTATGTCTTCGCAGCGTGGTGACCCGTCACAGGACCGTCACCATCATCCTTGCCGTTTCTCTTATGCTCCCCTTCCTCGTCGCGTCGCAACTTCAGCCATTCAGCGTCGCCCGGACTAAGCAAAGCAGTGGAGGCAGGACGACTCTCCTGTTCGCTTTGCTGCTTTTGGAAGACGACGCTTGTGCACCTTCGCGTTTTAGAAAAAGACGGATCATATCAGGAGGACGATCAAGGGTGTTGTGATCGTGACGGTGGGGAGCTTGTTTCCAGTGGTTCGAGAACTATCATTCGGTAGCGTATCGATTTCTTTCGTGATCGTATTCGTCCTATTTTTAAGATGGGCACGTGTTTTGTGCAGAATTCCGATGTCACATGCCCAGTCTGTCGTACCGGGTACATCCGTCACCCTGTTTTGTGAGGATCATGCCTTCTGTCCCTGTTTCTCTCTCTGTTTGCTCTTCAGTGGTGATGCGATCGAGAGCGAATGGAACGGCGATGCAGATGGCAGAATTAGAGCAAGGCCCCCTCTTTCCTCCCTGCAGCTACCTCCTTCTCGCGCCTGTCCTCCTCGCCCCTCACTCCCGTAGAAGCGCACAGTATGATTACTTCTCTCCTCTCTCTCCCCGAGGACGTCCATGAGAGTCGCGCGCCCCCCCCCCCCGAGTATTGCGAAGGCCTTGCGGCCGGTGCCGCCGACCCTGAGGTCGGGGAGGAGGGTGCGGAGCATGGAGAGGAAGATGAGGGGGGGTACAGGAGGAAGAGGAGGATCAGGGACCCTTCGGAGTCGTCTTGGAGCCCTCCTGGGGCGTCTTCTTCCAGGCTTCGTTCGCCGCTTTGAAGCTATGTTCGGCGTCTAGGGCATCTGGGAGGCCGCGCAGTGTAGATTTGGAGGCTTCAGGGGCCCGGGAGGAGCGTTCGCAAGCTCGTGCCCGCCCCCAAAAAATGATACAGCCAAATATCTCACGCGCCGTTTCAAACCTCGGCAAGCGGGGTTCGGCGGATGTTCATAGGAGCGGTCCTTCGACGTTTCTCTGGAATCTTGTGGAACCGCGGGATTCCCGGGAGAGGCGTCGTATCTGACCCGGGACTGCCCCGTGACATCCCCGGGATTTTCCCGAAACCTCCCTGGGCCCCCCCCCCTTCGTCGGGGATGGGATGAAACGGAAGGGGTTGCTTCGACGTTTGTCTGGAATGCTGTGGAGCCGCGGGATTCCCGGGAGAGGCGTCGTATCTGACGCGGGACTGCCCCGGGACGTCCCCGGGACTTCCCTGGGACACCCCCCCTCCGGCGTGGAAGGGTTGAACGAGAACGGGTTTCCCTCATCGTCTGCCTGGAATTTTGTAGAGCCGTGGGATGGATTCCCGGGAGAGGCGTCTCATCTGGCCTGGGACTTCCCCGGGACTTCTCCAGGATCCTGGAGAAAGTCCCTTCGCGCCGGGGTGGACGGGGGGTCGACCCCCCCCGTCCACCCCGGCGTGGAGGGGATGAAAGGGAAGGGTTTCCCAGACCCCCGACGTCGTGATTTGTTCACGACTTCGACCTCCAGAGGTCTGAACCCTGTCCTCGGAATCGGTTTTTGATCCTGAATCGTTTTCCGACGATCCCGAGGCCCGGGAAGGGACCCCGGAGGCCGAAAATGGCGAAGAGTCTCCCGTCGTGATTTTTTCGCAACGCGCGGATGTCTGGGTTTCCATCGACGTCTTTCCAGAATTTTGTCGAGCCGCGGGATTCACCTGCTCATCCGCCACCTCCAGTGTGCGCAGCTCCTTTTTTTCAGATTGCGCGTAACACGTGGAGATCCATGTTGTGCTTCCAAGTCGGCTACGACGTTCGTTGGCGGACAAGGCAAATCAGCGCAATGGGAAGGGATTTGCGGGGCGGGAGGGATATGAGCCGCCCGTATCTCGCAAGGTAAATTTGCCAGCTACGCAGGCCCTTCCAAAACAGGCCTGTCTGCTGGGGTTGAGCGAGAGGCTGCGGCGGCTACAGCCCAGGCGTCGGCCAGCCGTTCTGCTGGCTAACGCCCCAGCCTCCTCTCTCTTTTTCTCTTCCCCGCACGCTGTTCTGCGCAAGCTGCTCCAGATTCTCTCCCGCTCCATGCCACAGTTTCGGCCACGGCGTACGGTCATCAGAGACACCTCCTGTTGCCCAACGCCGCCGCGGGTGCGAGAACCCGTAGTCAGACCAGATGTTTGCCAGCGTGCCAGGGCCCTTGATATTGTTCGGACGTGTATTTTCCTTGGCGAAGACTATCGAGGAGCATCGTGGATCATCTTGCGAAGCACGAGCGCTCGAAGCCGACAAATGTACGGGGAATGGACGTCCGAGTCATGGCAAGGGCTACGAAGGTCGCAGATGTGCCCGGCGCAGCCTCACGGGCAAAGGGCGCAGGGCCTCCTGTGTGCAGAGGCCCCGTGCAACAGGAGCTGTGCGGTGGCCACGCGGTTCTGGTCCCCTTCCCCCCAGCAGCGGTCGCTTACCTCTCCTCCTCGGTTGAGTATCGTTTAACCGATCCCTATCCCCATCTGCATCCCCATACCGATCACCACCATTCCACCACCCCAGTTGGGTATATATGCCCCTCGAAACTGGAAGGAAGCAGCCTGTATCACCATCTCGGGGGGTAAATTGGCCAGTGGGGCCCAGGGCACGCTAGCGAGGGTAGGGATAAGTCGGCCTTGCGCAGAGGGTGGTAAGGGGGAGGGGGGAAGGCTTCTTAGAAGGAGGCTGCGTCTTAGAAGGCGTGGGCCTTGTCTAATGTGTGTAAGGCCGGGGCCTTCTGAGAAGCAGCCTCCTTCTCAGAGGCCCTCCCCCGGGGCCGCCCCCATACCCCCATGTGCGCGCGGCCAAATGAGCGACGCAGAAAAGATGGGGTCGTCCTCGCCGACATTCGCGCGTAAGGTGCCTGGGTAAGGTCGCGCGTGAGCGGCCTCGTTTTAAATGCAGCGTGCCACGCTGGCGGCGACTGCGCATGCGGTCGCTGTGCCATCTCGCGTAAGACCTCCTTATGATCGTCGATTGAGCGATGCTCAACGCCCTCATCCTGGGAGGAACGGAGGGGGCCATGGGTGCGTGTTGTCTGACGGGGGGCCCCCGCTCGAACGGGAGCCCCCTCCAGGGTCCGGCAACCCGCACCCACGCCCCACACCCATCGTCAGTCCTCCTCTCTCCGGCCCCCCTATGGGTATAGGCGTGTGTGTGTGTGTGTGTGTGTGTGTGTGTGTGTGTGTGTGTGTGTTTTGCTTGTTCGTCGAACACGGTTGAACTACAGTCAAAAACCCTAATAAGGACGCGCGACTTTGCTCAGGGTGCCCTTGCGCCCTTGCTCTTCCTTGCTCCTGCGTCCCTGGGGTTTTCGTCGTCCGCCGCCCCAGACATCCCAACCTCGGCTCCCAAGGGTCTTGCGCCCTTACCGCGCGTCTGTATTAGGGCCTTTGACTGTATGCCCAGCGCTCCCTCGGCGCGAGGCGACGTCCCCCGGGAGGTCCAGGCCGAGCTTTCCGGTCTTTTGGCGGCCGCTCTTCAGGAGGGGAAAAAACACACAGACACAATTAATCCTCGATTCCCAGGAAAATATAGGAAAATATGGGAAGTGGGGGGGAATACAAAAACCCAGAAAATATGGGAAAATATGGGGACTATTTTTATTTGTGTGTATTTATTTGTGTGTCCTTACCGCGCGTCTGTATTAGGTCAAGAGGGGAAAAAACACACAGACACAATTAATCGGCGATTCCCAGAAAATATGGGAAAATATGGGAAGTGGGGGGGAAAACAAAAACCCAGAAAATATGGGAAAATATGGGGGATATTTTTATTTGTGTGTATTTATTTGTGTGTCCCAGCTCCCCTTCATTAGGGTCTTTGACTGTATGCCTTGCGCTCCCTCGGCGCGAGGCGACGTCCCCCCAGAGGTCCAGGCCGAGCTGCAGGCGCTACGGGGGGGGGGGGGGGGAAGCTGCCCCCGCGGGAGGGCCAGGCGCGCCTCCACGGCCGAGGGCGGCAGGGGCCCCCTCCGGTCTTTTGGCGGCCGCTCTGGGTGCGTCGAGGGGAGAGGCACGCCTTCTGATGTTCGGGCCGGTCGAAAGGGTCGGGGGAGCGTAAGACCCGGGTTTGCCAGGACTCGGGTTCACCATCGTTTTTTGACGAGCGCGCCTCGGATTTTGACGAGGAGGAGTTTCGTGGGATGTTTGCAGCGGGAGGCCTCGTCAAAATGCAGGCTCGGCCTCGTCATTTTTTTGACGACCTCGTCGGGGATTTCCGAGTCCCCCGTACCCGGGTCTTACGTCTCCCCGATTTTGGCGGCCGCTCTGGGTGCGTCGAGGGGAGAGGGGGAGAGGTACGCCTTCTGATGTTCGGGCCGGACGAAAGGGGGGGATTGGGAAAGGGGGCCCTGATGGTCCGCTACCGAAGATTTCCGGCAGCGCTCCGCAGAGATCGGTCGCTACCGAAATACCGAAATGTAGCGCCCAATACCGGTATCAGAGCGCTCTGAAATCCGCTATTTCAACGTGCTCAAACGAAGATCCGGTCGCTACCGAAATTCGGGGTGCGTCGAAATCGCTACCGAAAATTTCCGGTACCAGACCATCTGGGATTGGGAAAGGGGGGGGTACGAAATTTGCTGCATGCAGCTGGTTTCGGCCCCACCGAGGGGCGCATTCCTCGATACATGGCCGCCTCCGGCGCCGGGAGGCGCCAGGAAAATCAGCTGCGTGAGCTGATTCTCAAACCCCCCTCTGTTATCCCCCCCTTTCGCCCGACCCGAGTCGAGGGGAGAGGCACGCCTTCTGATGTTCCAACCTGCTTTGGTCTGGGCCACCAGGAAGAATGTCGACCACCAAGAAGGTAACGAAACTGCAGGGATTTCACGTGTCGGGCCCTGGGAGGCGATACTCGTTCGACACTGTTTCGATCTTCTTCTGGGTGCTCGAACTCATTTTTGGGATGTGGTGCAGGAATACGATGGGAGCAACGTGAGGCACGCCGACCATGACCAGCCCAAACGTAGCGTGTCCCAGACGTCCAGCGTCTCGGAAATGCATCGAGACGCAGGTTTTTCTATCGTGCTCGGCCCCCCGCGGCTCCCACCGAAACCGACCTGAGATGAAAATCCCGTCCCTGGGAAGTGGTGGAGAGGTCGGGGGCCCAGGTTACGGACGAGTCGAGACGCCCGGTGTCTGGGGTGGCTCCG